CCTATGGCTTCAAAATTACTGAAAATATTACATCGGCCCTTGTGTTAGCATCTCTGGCACTTCCAAAGTGATCCTTAGGCCTTTTCAGGGTTAGGAGCAATTTGCTTCCTTGATCATTGCAAATCTGACAATAAAATCTAGGGGTAACTCATTAACGCTGAGGCCAAGAGCTTTATTGTTTCAGCTTTGTTATTGCTGAGCTTTCTCATTATTTGAGTTTATTGTTGTACGTTTGAAGATGGTTGGACCATCTTTCTAATCCAGAGGTTCACGTATCCTTGAGGCCAAAGGAGAAAGACTCCTGATGACTCACAGCTGCCTTCTGAGCATGTTGTCATTGGATACAAGGCCAAAATGGTTTTAAAGTTGGCAGCATTCCCTGAAGCCCTTTTAAGCCCCACTATGCCTGTGAAAATGGAAAAGAAAGGCTGTTTATTTTGGGCACTTGTTTTCAAGCCAGAGGTTTTGCAGGATAGAATTGGTCGTGGAGGCGGTTGAAACTCCTTCTGTCAGTGGGAAGATCAGTGTGGAGAGATTCACATGGAAAGTACATTTCCAGTTTTGCTGTGGGTTCCTTGTGGATGTGTTAGGTTTAGACACAGATGTAAGGGGAAGATTGGCTTCTGCTAAACCTCTGTGGCCCATTTTTACAAAGTATTTATATAAGGGATGAAAAAATTTGGAGGTAGCAAAAGAATATGACAAATTATAATGTAAGGGTGGAGGGGAGAGGGTCCAAGAAGCAAAAGGGAGAGCAGTCTGTGGGGTAGGGCCAGACCTAGGTGGGAAGGGCATATGTTTTGTTTCCCTAACATCTCCCTAGTTAGGGAAGATCATGTTTCAATTAATATGGAAGATCTTACCAGGTTCATACCCTGAAGAAATGCCTAGAGCACGCAATATTGGGCTGGATGGAGAAATGGTTAGATCTGTTCCTGTTCAGCCAGATTGAAAACTGAAGGCTTTTCAGAAGACTTGCTTTAACATGCTGTTAACCACTCCTTTGAGTAGGCAGGTAGGACAAGCTAGCCAGATGCTGGAAATAATAGGCTTAACTACCTGTCATGTTGCCCAAAAATTGGATGGCAGGTGCAGGCTGAGGCAGGTGGATGCTCTTCTGAGAGTTCTGCTTGGTGCCTCACCTCCTGCACACCTCAAAGAGAGCGAAATCCTTGTTTAAAAATAGTCCAGCTGATAGATCTCAGGCATGCTGAAGGTGAAGTGGGAGGGAGCAATCAACAAGTGACCTGACTCCGGGTAATCCAAATATCTCAAGTCCATCATCTATATTATCTGGGCTAAGCAATAGTTCGAAGCTCAGACACTATGGATATTAAAGGTTAAATTGGAATATTCTAATTAAAAATTAGGTAAAACTCAAAACAGGACATGGATATGTATAAGCAAAAAAATATATTGATAAATGCTTTAACTAAGTTTGTTATAATTAGAAATCTACTAGCCTAAATGTGATATAGCAAATGTTAAGGGAAATAGAGAAGGAATTTCTGATGATGTAACCTGAGATATGTACCAAATACTGTGTTATTGAATCACTGATTACCCAGTCACCACTCTACTTTCTGAATATTTAATGTAAAACTGGAAAACCAATAACATTTGTTTAAAAAAACAAAACAAAAACAAGTGATCTGACTCCTTGATTTGTTCTGCCAAGGAATGGTAGTACTGGCTGGCAGTGAATGACCAAAGAGGGCAGTTCTGACCTCACAGCAGGCAGTGACTGGAAAGAACTGGTAGAACATATAATTGTGAAAGGCTCCATGAAATAGCATTTATCACCATGGCACTGAGTGCTGCCGAGCCAGAATGGAATAGGCAAAATGGTGCCTTTTCCCTACCCACTTAGGACAACTTAAATGCAACTGTTCTGGTGCTTATATGAAAGTCTCACAAATAACAAAAATATGGTCATTCAAAGCTTACTTTTTGGCAAAAGTAGTGGAAAACCTGTAATACACCCAATGTTGATAGAACACACAGCACACAGCAAACCAAGTCTGTTTCCTGGTTTAAATTGAACTGTACATTATAGGGCTAGGCCTCAAGAGAGCACTAGTTGGTGGTACAGTAAGCCCTCTACTTTTAAGAAGACAAGTGCTATAAAAATGCCAGTTAAGCATTACCCAGGCAGAAGCTAGGTATTAGACTTTGCCTACAACCCAAGTCACATCCAATGATCAGAAGGGAAAGGTGAGGCCTACAGCAGACTAAACGGGTGAGTTGAAGCTGGGCACATCCTAGCCTTGATGTCAATAACCGTATCAACAGTGAACAAAAATATTGTGTTAGAAGAAGAGAGAAGCTAAGAGTGACTAAGGTGCTTCCATCAATAACTGAAGATGAGACAAAAGCAATCTCGTGAAGATATGTCCCCCCCCCCAAGTGGTTACTGGAGCTTGTTATGCTACACTTATGTGGAACTGAGGAAGAGGCCTTAGGAGCACAGGTTAGCCTGCAGATCTGACCTAATAGCCTTTATCAGATAAAGGACTTTCACCTGGCTTGGACTACTTTAGTTGTGAGTTGACCTTCCCTAATTAATTCCTTGCTTTGGCTGGATGTCTGTGCAAGCTGGAGCTCCATCTTGATATTCCTCTATTTGTAACTTCATGACAGGCTGTTGCTTTATTATCCAGTAGTCTTAAATCTACTGTCTAAAATTATGGAATGATAATCCTACCATTTTAAATTATTCCCTGGGAACCAAGGTGAAAAGCTCTGCCCAGAACTAAAAGCAATGCTGGCTTAGGAGTTATTTTCTGGAATGACTTTCTGCAGAACTCTGGGGTTTGGGTGTTTGTATGTGCAATTCGTTTACCCTAGTTTTCTACAGACTGGGCCTCTTGGGCCATGCTTCCGGCTGTTTCCAGGGCCTTGTCCAAGAGTTACATGGAGCCTGCATGCGTTCAGCTGGTCATTGGCTTTGTACCTTGAGACGTACTTGGCAACAGCCACAGAGCAGATCAGAGCCATGCCTAAAGAGAGATTTTTCAGGGTAAAAGGTGGGGGGGGGAAATGATTTTGGGTGATAGTGACCTAGTTCAAATCCAGTTTCCCAACTTCCTCCTCTCTGACATCCCATATATAGTTTGGCAGGCCAACCTGTTGGCACAAAGAAGACTGGAAAAATGAGACACTTGTTTACTGTGTGTCTTACCAGGGGCAAGAATTAGAAGGGTGGCCTTAAATCACGAGTGCAGAATAAAGGCTCATGTTGCAATTTAGCTGTGTGTCTCTCCTCTACTATAGCTTGTAGTGTATGGCAGGGTCCCTCTTGGGCAGGAAAGCTTGCCATCTGGGTACATAGCAGAATCTTATTTTTGTTTCTGCTAGGACTGAGTGGCAGTTCGGCAGCATAAAGGCTGAACTCTGTTGGTGGCCTACGGTCTTTGTAAAGGCCTTTCCAAGCTGCAATAGGAGAAATGGAGTCATCGTTTTTCTGTGTCTCTGTAGCAGTGCCAGGCTTAGGGTGGGGGTTGTTTATTTGTTTGCCATTTCTAAATGGCAGTTGAGGAATAGGAAGGATCTTTTTGCTTTGTGGCGTCTTGTGCAGTTATTATTGCATTATCCTTATTTTTTTAAAAAATAAAAGGAATGCAAGAAGGTTGAAAGTGAGAAGATGCTGTGGCTTGGCTGCTTATATCCCCCATTCCCCCCCCCAAGAGCTGTGAACAACTCACAGGAATTGCATACTCAAGGCTTTGTCTGGAAGTACTCTCTGATAATGTGAATGCAGATTTTTGACCTCTGTATGCTCCAACTAAGAATGTGATTTGTGTAGGCAGGCTGTTAAGGCCTGTGGAAATACAGCATAGCAGTGCCGGCAATTGTAGAAACTGCTTCCATTCTCTGTCTCTGCTTATCCACAGACAGTGAGATCTTCTAAGTCACAAGACATGTCGTGATATATCGCGATTTCCCCCCCCCCCCCCATTGATGGAGCTGGGGTGGATGCAGTTTCAGCATGATGCATCAGGTCCGTGGGACGGCAGTTTGACCCCCCCCCTGTTCTAAGTGCATGGATCCTGCTCTTCTTTGGCCAGTACGCAAAGCTAGGAAATGAAGGTTATAGCTTTTCAGGTATAGTTTTTTGTTGCTTGGAAATGTCCTTCGCTCTTTCACATGTAGGAACTTGGGTTTCTTGAACGGATGACCTAGAAATGCAGGTCTTATTTCTTTCAACAGACTACTGGAAGCTTGCATAGCTTATGACCCATCCAGCCAAACGCAACCTACCAGTCTTGTTTCAGAAACAACTTGCCTGTCTGCTTGCTTGGAATTTAATGAAGGCAGGGAGGCATCTGGCAGGCCAGCTATAGTATGTGCTTCACGGGTATTTGCTTTAGTCAGACATAAATCATGCAGGCATAACCCAGTGGGATGATCAGATTGATGGTGGGGTTGATAGTAACATCTCTCTCTATAAAGAGACTATCTTTATTTTGTTTGAACTACGTGACATGCTTGAGGCAAACCATGGTCGGAATAGTGTGAGTTAAATCAGTGGGGTATGGGTAGTGTCATCATTAGACAGGATATGTATGCAATGTCTCATTACCTTTCCCAAATGTGTGCTCTTGCAAAGATTTCCAGCCATAATACTGACTTAGAAGGCAGTCATGTTTTGCAGATTCTTCTTAACTCCCTCTGCAGTGCCATCCATAGTTCCTGATTGTCGGCCTAGACAGATCAGGAATTGACTCCTTGGGAAGGCTAAAACTACTTTTACTGAGATTGGCAATAATAACTAGAATCTTGCAAGTCTGATTGTGCTGTACCACCACCACCTCCTCCTCCCCCTCCAGTAAATTAGGGAGGTCTCTGCCTGACCTGCTTCCAAATGCTATTTTATTGTTCTGGACTTTTTATTGTTTCAGTCCCTTTTGCCTTGGTAAATGGTTCCTTCCTATCTCCATCAAAGTCATTGTTTTTATTCTGCACTGGGTTCAGCTTCCCTCTTCCTTCTCATACACCAGGTGGCGTGATCCTCTATGTGGGTTCAACAGCTGGCTCCAGCCCCACTCCAGGCAGCCCTCCCAGTGGATATCTGGTATCTTCACCCCAACACTCACTGCCATCCTCGTTAGAAGAGCTGACCCTCACCGAGATTGGAGCCATCAAGCCACAGCAGGCCAGCTCCCCCTCTTCACCCAAGGTAGCCTTCCAGTTTCCTGAAGGGATCTGCTACCCCAGCAAGGGCCAGCTACCCTCAACATTAAATAAGGTGCCTACCGCCAAGCAGAATGGAGCCACCAGCACTTTCACAAGTAAGTGATTCTTCCACATATATCTCCTCTTCTCAGTTTAGTATAGGATTTCTGACATACAAGATGGAATAAGTCTTAGATTGGACCCAATGCTCATATTCTTATTTTTCTGTATTTTCTGCTTTAAGAGCAAAAAAAGGGAAAATCTTTGGACTACAAGGTGATTCTGGAAGTGATGGCTGAGAATTGAGACTAAGGATATGAGTTATGAGCAAGGCTGTGCTTGCTAGGCAGTCTTAAGGAAGCCACAGATTCTTTTGCCTGTGTCCAACCCTGCTCTTTCTGCAGTAAGAAATAATGATAGGAAAGTATTTGTATGGATTTATTTGAAGCTTGAAGCTTCTGAATGCTCTTCAAGGATAACCCCATATAGAGCGCATTGCAGCAGTCTGTACGTGAGATGACACGGCTTGAATGACTGAATGCAAGGAATCCTGATTCAAGAAAGGCTGCAACTGGAGCACCAACTAGAGTTGTACAAAGGCTCTCCTGCTGTGAGTCCCACCTGCTCTTTGAGCAGGGATCACAAGTCCAGGAGAACTCTCAAGTTGAGAACTGGGTCTATCTGCGGTAGTGCAACCTCATCCTGAACCACATGGATTAAAGTCCCAGATCTAGAAGCTCAAAAGCCATTCGATCTTGTCAGGGAGATTATTTCTATGAAAACTACAATTCAAGATAGTTAATAATCATTCCATTGTGTCTGTGCGGACCTGGAGTCCTGGTAGAAAGACCAAGAACTGTTATTCTCCTTGAAGGTAATTACTGCTCTTTTGGGTGTACTCATTTTCTGACTTAATCAAATGTTAAAAATCACCCATTGCTCAAAACCGTTTTGCTTCAAACAAAAAAGTGAACCATTAAAGAGGGCATAGACCCACCCAGTCCCTTGAAATTTTGAAACCCTCCTTATTGGAGGTATAATATTGTTTTATTTACAGTAACCTTTTGCAAATATATTGACAAGGTTCCCATGTAGCATTAAGTTGTGATTTGTTTTAATTTGGTTTGGTCCCATATGACAATAGTGAATCATGGCTTTTGCATTTTGGGTTCTGAATGTGACAGGTGAATTTAGTCAGTTGTGAATTAGTCAGTAAAACATGTTTAAACAGGTGGTAGTCCAACGTGCAAAGTCTTTCTGTACAGGTGTGCATGTGGCCATTGTTATTTCCATTTTAAATAAAAGTTCAGATGGATTCCATTCTGATGGAGTTAGTTTGGCCCTGTCAGCCATTCCCAATTGTTATTCTCTAAGTCTGCTGAACTTCCATTTCCAAATCCTACAGGCATGCTGACTGGGATTATAGGAGTTGACATGTATTGCGTCTGGAGGACAGCAAGTTGGGGAAACCCAAAGGTCCTTTTTCCAAGTGGCATTTGGACTTTCTTGGTTTTTTTCTTTGAAAACATTCCGTTCTGAACCAGAGAAGCTTCTTAGATGAGATACAAAACGTTTTCATAGTAAAAAGAAGAAGAAAGTCTGGCTGCCTTATGGAAGAAGCACCTTTGGGACAACCATGACCTGGGTAATTGAGAAGCTCCATAGACAAGTTAGGAAAAGTTACTTCAGTGGACCAGGACAGAGAAGAGGGAGATTGGATCAGAAACTTGGGCCTGGCAGGGAATTAAGATCAGTTCTTCTCTTCCTTTGCAGAGACTGGTGGGATGGTGTTGCTTTGCAAAGTTTGTGGAGACATTGCTTCAGGCTTCCACTATGGGGTTCACGCTTGTGAAGGATGTAAGGTAGGTGCATCTTCTTGCTTTCTTCCTCTTTTGTTTGTTTCTATTATGACAAGCCTGTAGAAGACTTAAAAACATCTTTGTTTAAAAATAGTTCAAGTTGAAATGCTCAAGATTGATTGTTTGATCATGTGCTCTGAAGGTGATGTCAGTTTTTAGTGACGATGTAGAGGGGTTTTTCTCCAGGTTGATCTTTTCCTAATCTGGTCCTTCAGATCTTCCAGTGTACCCATTACCACTATAATTGAGTCCATCAACCTTGATGCTATTCATTCTTTTCTTATTTTTCTTGCTATCTTTCCCAGCATATAAGTTTCCAAAGTATGATAATTTGAATCTGGTCACTTCAGTCTCTGCTGAAAACCCTGGGTTGTTTTATTTGATGACCCACTAGCTTTTTTTCTTAGCTATCCATTGGTGCACTTGGGTGCCTTTTCAACACCAGTATTCAAAAGAATCAATTACCCTGTTCTTTCAAAGTCTAAAATATTTAGGATACTAATATGAAATCCTACACTGGCAGACCTATTGGCGGCATGTGCAACTTGAATCCATATTGAGTTTTGGTTTTGACCCAGGCTAAAGAGAAATTAGTTTAGTTGGAGTCTCCATTAACACACAAATTGGATTAATTTATTAATCCACAAGTTGGATTCTCCGTTAGCTGTTTGATTTCTCTAAAATAAGAACCATAATACCAATAATTCTCGACTTACAACCAGAATTTCCACTGCTAAGCAGTAGCACTGGCCAGCATCCTCCAGTCCTTCAGCAATTCAGTTGGCAAAACAAGGAATGTTTCAGCCATGTATTTTCTTCCAAGTAGCTAGAGCCTACCAACTTGCCAGTTGTTCAGTTGACTCTCTGGAATCCAAGGGAGGATAAACTAACTTTTGTCTTCTTAGATGTCTTCAGCCAACATTAAGAAAAAAAGGCATGAGGAATACTCCAAAGCTGACACCAAGCAGCGTAGAAAGCTAAAAACCAGTAGATTCATTTTACATGTATCCATTTGTTGGTTCATCTCCTCTTTCCCCATTCCTCTTTCCTGGTGCCTTCAGGGTTTTTTCCGCCGGAGCATCCAGCAGAACATCAACTACAAGATGTGCGTGAAGAATGAAAATTGCATGATCATGCGTATGAATCGCAACCGCTGCCAGCACTGCCGCTTCAAGAAGTGTCTGTCGGTGGGGATGTCAAGAGATGGTAAGCAGCATCTGGGTAGGGCTGGTCTCTCTTTGTGGCGGTGTGGGTCTGTAACTAAAGGCTTGAAAGCAACTATAATGAATTCAATTTGTAGTCATGAATGTTTGCTTCATGATTTGTAGTCTATAGTCATGAATGTTTGCTTCATGATCAAGCACATTGGAATTAACTGGCTAACACGTGGATTCCCGTGGATTCCCTTTTCTTGAATAGCTCTGAGACAGAAAACATGAAGTAGGAAAATCTCTGGAAGGCAACGTGCTCCATTTCCATCCTTGGAAAAAACCACTCAGTTGCATCCTCTCATGTCCTCAAATTGCACTGCCCAGATTTAGCTACTGAATTTTGGCAGAATGATTTGTTTTGAAGTTCTTCAATGATGAACATGAGAAATTTGCTTCCTGTATACTTCCTCTGCCCTTTGCCCAGTGTTATAAACCACAGTGGTCCCTAGCACTGGGAAGGCTGTTCACCCCCCTTTTTAAGGAACAATAACTTGATGATTGCCATTGCTAAAAATGATTAGGAAATGGCAGAGGGTGATAGGGAAACAAGCAAAGGCTGGGCTGATACCAAGACATGCTTCAGTGTTAATGTGTTTAAAGAGATAAAACCTTAGTCCCAACTCTTGGCCTGTAGTGCTGTCCCTGCAGTCACTCTCTCACAAAGGTACAGTGTCAGCAAATGCTTGGTTGATAAATGAAACCCTGGGCTGATTAATGCTTTTGTGTCAGAATTTGCAGAGCAGGAGAGAAAGATGGGGAAGAGCTACTTGTATGCAGAGACCAAGCAATGTCCTTTGATTAATGGCACACTGGCTCTCCCAAGTACATGACCCAGAGGCCTAAGATTCTGCTTATAATTTTGGCTTTGTGGTAGCACTGCTGGCTTGGGAAGGAGGGTTGGATCTGATCCTCTCTTTCTTTGCTGGGGAAGAATGAACAAAGATAAATTGCTTGCCACCACCTCCTAAATTGGAGAAGACCATCATACTGTACGTTTGTGCGTCTGAGAGTTTGCACGGGCTTTCCTGAGCATCATTGTGTTTGTATTAAGTGAATTTTAAGAATCGTGCACTTTTCCTTATTTCTCCAGCTAGAAATGCCACCTTCGGTGGAATCGTGTTAGGGTGCAGCTTCTCTTCCTGTAGGGTTATGGCACAGAAGAAAGTTCTACCTGTTCAGTTCCTTTATTGCTGCTTGTTATAGCGTAATGTCTCCCTGACCCTCAGATTGTCACGTTCCTTCTTCCCTTCCACAGCTGTGCGTTTTGGGCGCATCCCTAAGCGAGAGAAGCAGCGCCTGTTGGATGAGATGCAAAGCTACATGAACAGCCTGAATGAAGTCCCCATGGATGTGGGCCTGAGCTCTGAGGTGGATGCTCCACCCAGTCCTAATACCCAGGAAGAAGAGGCAATAAATGCCATCTCCAGGGCTTACCATGACATCTTCCTTAGCGGGCAGGACCGCCTAGGCAGGCGTAGTAGCTCCCCAGGGGCAGAGACTGCCCCTTTGACCAACTACAACGAACAGCCGCAGCTGAATCATTCCCTGGGTTATGGGCGATACGAATCAGCCACTCTCCACCTCTCCAGCTACAGCCCTGAAGAACCAACCTGTTTCGTTGACAACAGTCCCTCCTGCTATGGCAATGAGATCTTCCAGAACCAGCAGACCAGTTATCTTCAAAATGCTGGATGCTACCCACCCTTTGATTTTGATTATTCTGAGGGAAATGTCCAGAGGAGCTGTCTATGGCGGGGAACCACCAGAAGGGGCATTGTGAGTAGGCCAGTGTTATACTGGGGAGTGGTGGCTGGGCATGTGGAGATATCCAGCAGCAAACAAGCAGCTTTCTTGATATAATCGCCCTGCATGCACCCTTTGGTGCATGCAGAGCGATTGGGGGAAATAGCAGAGGATGACTGATGCTGTCTTGTCCCAGAGAATTTCTGTTCAATCAGAACTCGGCCAACTAGCAGTAAGACACTCTGGTGTCACTGCTAGTCACCCTGGAGCCACATTATGTCTCTTTCTGGAAGTTTAAAATCTTAGATATTACATTTGAGGAAAGCCTGCAGAGCATGGATTTGGGTCTACTTCCTTGGATCTCAGATAAAAATATTGGCTTTGCCAAAAGAAAACTGATTTTCAAATCCTTGACATCCCTCTGCTGTAAATTATTGGTAGTGCAGTGGAAATAAGAAAGCAAACCAAACAATCTCCTTGGATTGGTAGAACAAGCTGGCATGGTATCTGTGGTTCCCATGGCCAGTTCCTGTCCTTGTCCCTGTTTTAAATGAGGAACTGCTCTTGTTCTAATTTTTAAAACCATGAACCACAGGATTAAATAGTAAAAGTGGTGCCCTCCAAATGGAATGGCTATGTCCAGATCAAATGGTACAAAGTAAAGTACTGTGTGCCGCAATCAGTTGCCACCACAAATGTAAAATAGCTCCTGGTGATTTCAGATAGTTGTTTGTGGCTCTTAGTTTTACCAAAGAAAGTAAGAAGTAAAATCACGTCTGGTGTTTTCTCTTAAATTATCTGCATGAGTTCATGAAAAATTTTAGTGTTTTTTTTTTTTTTGAACAATGTTTTGAGCCAATCCATTGTTTTAGTAAAATCATTTTGGCCACTTCTCAATTACAGTTTTAAAATGACAATTAGTTGTGATGGCAGGTCCACATTGGCAAGCTACTGAGTTTACTGCTAAAACTGTTCGAAATGGTGGCATATAGAAGGGCTTTCAAATGAAGAATGGCAAATTGATCCTTCTTACTTTCCAGCAATGCTTTCTACTAATCCAAGATACTTTTAAAAAACTTTTTATCCCATTGGAAGATCATTTTTGGAAATAACCTCAACTGGAAAAAGGAAAAGTTACAAATATTCTTTTTTCCAAAAGAATGGCCAGTGAGGCAAATTACCCTTTTATCATTTTTCTCTCCCCCTCTCCCTTTACAAATTCTATCCTTTCATTATATCTGGCTGTGCCTTTGGGTTAAACTAGTTTACTTTGTATTCTAGTCACAAAGCCATCCTGTTTATGTGTTGAGAGAACAAGTGTCTTTAAAAGTATTAAGTTATACCATTTGAGGGTTAAAATGGATCTTTTGCAAAGAGTTTTGCTTGACCAAACATCCCTCTTTCTGTCAATCTCTTTGTGGCATGTAGGCTTGTCCTCTGAATGCCACCCCTTATTGTGGCAGTGGCAAGAGCAGTCAGCAAGTGTGGGAAGAGTTCTTACAGTGCTTCACACCAGCTGTCAAGGAGGTGGTTGAGTTTGCCAAGAGCATTCCAGGCTTCCAGTCACTCTGCCAGCAAGATCAAGTGATGCTCCTCAAAGCGGGCACTTTCCAGGTCAGTGCTGGGTGCATTCTTTCCATGGACAGCCCCAAATCTGTGCAAAAAATGATTGATGCAAACTTAGTTAGCCTCAGGATCTTTTCTGCACTGCAGCTGTGCTCAGGATGATTTTTTTGTTTTGGAGAGAAGCTATGAGGGCACACAGCAAGAATGAGGAAGTGCAAAGAGAATGGCTCTTTTGGGGATAGGTTTGTTTTCCACAGTCTCAAGTGTTATGGAATTGCCTTTTAATTGTCAAATAGCTTTGCTATCATCTGGAGAACATAAATCTTGTTGGCAAGATTTCACTGGAGCTGAAGCTGAAACCTCCTTACTGACTGCCTCCTTACTGCTTTTCGTGTTGGAGTAGGGAATTTTCCTTATAATTAAGACACTCTCTTCTCAGAATTTGGAACTCTTTCCAAATAGCATTCTTGTGTCCCAGCAGTTGCCCAACTGTGGAAAATGCAAGTAAGGACAAGAAAGTTGTACCTACAAATTTTATCAATTTTACACTTGAAGCAGATTACTGGTTAGGCCTTTGGCTTGCTCCCATGATGCAAACAGCACGCACATAGCTGCTGCCTCACTGGGCACCTTTTTATTTTTTTTCCAAATTTTTTTGTGGTTCTTCAGATGCAGATGGAGATGATAACAAGTTTGCTCTGGGAAATTATAAGTTGCTAGCTGTGTTTCTTCATTCAGTGAAAAATGTGTTTGTCAAAAAGATGTGTCTTTGCTTAATGGGACACTGTTCCACTATTTGTCCTTTCATAGGTGCTGATGGTACGCTTCTCCACCCTCTTCAGTCCCAAGGAGAAGAAAGTAACATTTCTGAGTGGGGAAACATATTCACTTGGCAGCCTACGTTCCATGGGCATGGGCTCTCTGCTGGATGCCATGTTTGAGTTCAGCGAGAAGCTCAGTTCCTTGGGGCTAGATGCACAGGAGATGGCCCTCTTCATGGCTGTGGTCCTTGTCTCAGCAGGTGGGCGTAAGCTTGTGTTGCAACCAGACTTTGGGTAGTGAGACATACTTGTTGCAAGAGCTCTTGTAACTTTCGCTAAAGGCCTGCCTTCTTGCTATAATCCTGTGTTGGAGACTGTATAGGTAGTCCTCGACTTAACAACCATTCGTTTAGTGACCAAAGTTACAATGGCACTGAAAAAAAAGTGATCATTTTTTACATGACAGTTGATGTTGTGATTATGATGATCACATAATCAAATTTTGGATGCTTGGCAGTTTGCATGTAATGTCCCAGGATTATGTGATCACCTTCTGCAACCTTCTGACAAGCAAAGTCAATGGGGAAGCCAGATTCATATGACATCCATGTTACTAACTTAACAACTGCAGTGATTCACTTAAGAACTGTGGCAAAAAAGGTTGTTAAATGGGGCAAAACTCACTTAACCAACTGTCCTGCTTAGTAATGGAAATTTTTGGACTCAATTGTAGTTGTAAGTCAAGGATCACCTGCCTTGTGGAGGATCATATGGAGTTTATGTGCCAGTAAGATCATTTCTGTAACCAAAACAGAATGGAACCCAATTTGATATGATGGAAGAAGCCTGCAGAAGGAAGGATGGGTTAAGAAATAAATCCAGCTGGAATTTGGGGAGAAAAAAATAGCCCCCCCAGCGCATCCCAGAGAAACAGGCAATTGAACTGCTTTTTTGACATTTTCTGGTGAGAAGGAAGATACTTAAAAATAGTACAATGAAACGTTTTCTCAGCATAGGGGCTTATAGGCAGGTTCTAATGAATTTACCATTTAGAAACGTGGATGCAATTGTGATTATGCTAAAGCTGTGGTATTGGGTACAAGATTAAATTTCTTAGGATTCCATTAAAATTCCTCTATCCAGTGAGCAAGTAGGTGTGCGAGAAATATCTACTGAAATTTCAGAAGTCCAACAAGTATTAAGTTTGTCAGAAGAGTCTGTTCTGTCCTTTTTGTGCATTTAGAAGAACCAGATTATGAAGGGTCAAAAACAGTACAATGCAATATAATACAATTAGATAAACTGCAATTGTAGTTATATTCCATGCATGCATATACTTTGCATTGTACATCATCTTATGTAAAACACAGATCACTTTCACATTTTGTATTTTATATATTTGATAATGCATTTGATACTGACAAATCTAGTGAGATAGTGCAGTTCGTCCTTGATTTATGACTGGTCAATTAATAACTATTCAAAGTTACGGCAGACTTCAAAAAGCTACTTACAACCTGTTCTTAAGTTACAACTGCTGTCTCCTCCTCTTTCATGGTTCATGTGATCAGATTTTGATGCTTGGCAACTGGGGCTCATATTTACGGTTGGTTGCAGTGTCCCACGGTCATGTGACTGTGGTTTGTGACTTGCTGATTTTCAGCAAAAAAAATACCCCTTGGATATGCTAGATTCAATTAAGGGCCATGTAGTTAGCTTAATAACCATATGATTTATTTAATGACCATGATGACACACTTTATGTAAAAATGGTTGTAAAATTGAGTTTAGTCAGACTTACGACTGCAATTCCAGCCTCCATTTTGTTTGTAAGTTGAGGGCTATCTTTAAGTGGTTTAATTCTCCCTAATATGTTATCATTTTTCCAAGACAGCTAAACCCATCCCCTCTTTTTCCATATCTTCTTTATTTCTCTTAATTTTTAACACCTTTGTTTTGGTTTTCAGATCGCTCTGGGGTCTCCGATGTGGATGCTATTGAAATTCTTCAGGAGACATTAATCCGGGCCTTGAGAACTCTAGTAATCAAGAAGCATCCAGATGACTCCACGCTTTTCCCTAAGCTGCTTCTCCGTCTCCCCGACTTGAGAACTCTGAACAAGCAGCATTCAGAGAAACCTCTTGCCTTCCGGATCAACCCTTAATTCCAGCACATCAATCTCATAAGCCCTAAGACTTCAGGAAAGAAAAAAAAAATCCACCATCAAGTAAATTTACTGCAGCGGACTAAATGTTGCTCTTTGGGAAATGACCGTAATGATGAAATAAGAGGTGTAGAAAGGATACGACAAAGGCAGGAAGCCTATAGCCCCTGGCAGCTTGTTGGAGTAGATCCAGTGAGGAGAGAGATGGGATGAAGGAAGGAAGGATGCATTTCCCAGATAGCGCTCTCCACAGCACAATGCAGACTGAAGATCATTTACGTGCCAAGAGAGATCAGGCAAACAAACTAGACACATCTGTTATTTCTAAATGGGTGTGGGTGTGTATACACACGCATGCATATATCCACACATATATTTCCATACGGTGTTGTTTTGAGGCTCTACCCTGTATATAAATGCACCAGCTACATTGTACATAAGAGTAATCCTTGGTAGCTTTTGAGGGTGGGCAAATGTAGGACCACCTGGTAAGGCAGTTACTGCAAAATCTAGCTTCCTTAATCTGCACGCTAGTGAAGTCCCAAGTCTCAAAACTTTTTTTCTTTTCCTTTGTTAGCCTCTGTTCCTTTGCTGCTATTTTCAGAAAGTGTGTATGTATGTGTATACACACAAACAAAAGAGATTTTACTGAGTAGATGGTCTGATCAAATAGGAAATAGAATTACTTAAGTTTTCCACCTCCACCCCTATCTCGGCAACTGTTTAACTGACATCCCAGTTCTCTTTCATCTTGTTAGGTATGAGTGTCTAGATAATACATATTTCATAAAGATCTCAAACAAAAATACAAAAGGTCTTCCACCAGTTTGTGACAGATTGGTTCTCCATAATTTGTGGCTACAACAGAAAGGCAGTAAGAGGAAGAAAGCTATGGAGATACTGTCAATTGATCAGAAGTCTAGTATTTCAGCAAGTGATAGGAAATTGATTGTAGTTGGATGACTTGAAAGAGCTACAAGTAGTCCTCAACTTACAACACTTCAAAGTTACAATGGCACTGAAAAAAATAACTTACGATCATTTTTCACACTTAGGACCACTGAAGCATCCTCATGGTCGTGTGATCAAAATTCAGAGGCTTGGCAGCTGGTTCATATTTATGACAGTTGCAGTGTTCTCAGGTCCTGACAAAAGTCAATGGGAAAGCCAGATGTCACTTAACAACCATGTGACTAACTTAACAACTGCAGTGATTCACTTAACTGGCAAGAAAGGTCATAAAATGGGGCAAAATTCGCTAACATGTCTCAGTTGTGGTCATAAGTTGAGAACTACCTGTATTGGAAGAGAGAAAACGATTTGGATTAGCCAGTCTTCCTTCCATCCCTATAAGGTTCAGCCATGAGGAAGAAAGGGCTAAGCGAAGCAAACACTCTGAGACCTTTTCTGCTCAGCTTTTCTGATTACTTTCTGGATTTTGGTGCTTTTCTGTCTGTTCCCCCTAAAGAATGAAGTTTGGGGTATTTTATCCTAGAAATCCTTGGTCTCTCATTTTGACCTCCAAATCCCATTCCTTTTTAAGGATGGGGCCAAGAATCCCAAGCACTTTCCAAGCTGCCTTTCTTATTATATTCAGCACCGTCTTTTATTATAGATTTCCCATGTAAACCCTGAATTTTTTGGCTACTTCACCTAATCATCAGTAGACTGCCTTCCTTAGGGAGTGGTGTGTTCTTTGCACTTTATATTACTTTTTTTTTTAAAAGCAACCAGATTCTGTGCCAAGAAATGTGTAAATTATGACCTGAGTAAATTATTCAACTTAAACAGATGCCATATTAGTTTATTTTGCATAATTTACTCTGCTTCCACTAGTCATGGACAATGAAAGTGAAGGTGGCATTGGAAGCTATGCTGCATACTGAAGTTAGTTCCACCCTCTGATCTCTTAAAAATTCTGTTATGGCTTTTCTGGGTTTCTGAGACTGTACATCATGGTGGCACATCAGTGTCCCGAGCAATATGTATATGGTTTGGAGCACCAAAGGGTCATATGGGTATGTACATTCAGTTGCATTCTGTGTTGTTGTTTTATTATTTATGCCCGATTGTGACACAGCATTGGAGAAATGGCTCTGATGTATGTTTGGGATTTGGATTTTGCTGAAGCCCAACCTTGAAAGAATAGAAAATGTATTTTCCCACGACAAATAGAAACAGAATGAAAGAGGAGATGTGCAGGATGCTAACTTCTGTAACTCCACATTCTGTGCTCAAAATGAGATGGAACAGCAGATGCACATGTTTAATACACTTGAGCACTCTAGGCCTTGAGAACCTAGGAACTATTTTTCCCCATATCTAATTATAGATTTAACCCATTGGGATGTTTTTAAAAGACTCGGAGATGACCAAAAAGGATCCTGGACTCCCTCTTCTCTCCAGTAGGATCTCCCAGTGTCCTCGTCTGGTTGTGGTCAGCCCTGCCTGGTTCTCTACATTGATATATGACAGGTTTTCCATCCCATTTACAGGAGGTCTCATAGCATGTTTGGATCACCCTCCTGATGCATGATGTGGGGAATATTCGGTGTTCTTTGCAGGGTGGGAGGGACACTTGCTGCTGCTGTTCAACACTGCTTTGAAAATGAAACCAAATGTTGCACTTTCTTAGAGATGTATGTAGGAACAAAGAGTCCCCTCCCTAAATTGAAGTATATTTGCTGCAATGGAAAAATGGAGAGGGGTTTATTTGCTGCTGCTGCTGCTACTGCTACTGCTGGGAGTCCAAAAGACTCATAAAAGATGCTGGCAAAGCAGAGAAAAGAGAGAATTTATTTTTTGTCTAAAATTGAGGTGCAATAAATACATGAAAAAGATAAATAAAATAAATATTTGCTAACAGTACAAGCTTTATGTCCTTCTTGTGGTCAGGAGTTAGGACTGTGTCAAAAAAGGGTTCCAAGATTCACAGTCTTGAGATAGGCTCCTGCGTCACTGGTAGTACCAAACTTAAGAGCAGCCAACCAGGTGATCCCTGGAATCAGGCAAGCAATTCAGGACCGCAGTAGCCCTCTGTCTTGTTCCCCAACAATCAATCTATGGAAGCAGACTGATTCCCTCTGGAGGCTTCATAATGCAGAACTGAACAGATTTGGCTGTATGCTAGAAGAACAGGTCTCAACCTTTTCTTTACCATGTACCCCCTTTAAATGCCTTTTGTGACCATAGAACATGGCCATGGACCCCCACGACTTAAGTTTTAAACCATTTCTTCAAGCCTTCACAGACCTCCTGTGACAACATTGTGGTCCCCTCCCCCCAGAAGTCAGCGGACCACAGGATGAGAACCATTGTGCTAGAACATTGAGTTCGGCCAAGGGGAGCTTATTACAAAACCCAAACATTTAGAGCCCAGATATTGGCGTAGAGCAGGATCCCCAATCCCTGGTCAGTAGATTGGGACTGGGCTGCAGCATGCCAAAAACGGCCACGCAAACAAGCAAAGCCCCATCCGCGGGTTGCAGAGGCAGCACACGAAGCCACACCCCCTCTGATCTGTGGAAAAACCTCTATGGAACCGATCCCTGTTGCCCAAAATGTTGGGGGCTGCTGGTGTAGAGTTTAGAACTGAGAAAAGAAACATGCTCCTGACTTAATATCAGCAAAATAATCTACCCTGTGAGGTTGGTGGATGCTACAGCAATGTTAAACTAATTTCAGATATTCCTGCTGAACTACTGCAGATTTTCCAAATATCTGCTGGGTGACCTGACTTGTCCCTCTTTGATAGCAATCACCTTCATGATTAGTAGAATAACCCTCCAGGAATAGGACTCATCTGTTGAACATCTGCCTATCAAAATACTTGGGGGCAAAATACTTGACTAACTGGTCACAAAACTTCATCTTGTATCCATGATTGGACACCTGCACAAATCTATTCTGGGATCCTTGATTTATTTTTTAATTAGAATTTAATTAGAATTTATGAATACAATAAAAGTATTAAAAAAGAAAAATAAGAAATCGAGAAGACAGAAAATAAGAAAAAATATGGGATTATGATTTCCACCCTTCTATGTAGTAGCTCCCGTCTTATGCTTTCTCCTCCCTCTTTAATCCTTTTTATTCCCGAAATCTGTAAATCATCAATATAGCCTGCTTGCAACAAATTTTCCAGTTCTTCAAATAAGTCTTTATTGTTTTTTTTATAAGTGTCTATGATCTAAATAGTCCCAAAGCTGTGCCATCTGATCTAGAACCAATGATGATTAACACAGCCTTAAAGTATGAGGCTTTATTTTCGTTCTGGCTCTGACCATGTTTGGTTTATGCATTTAAGAGTTAATTTTTTTCCAGACTGAGTATGAGAGCAGTGTTATACTGTGTCAAGCACTGAATTCCCTCAAAACAAATTCTTAAGGCTGAAGAAAAAAGGTAGGACCTACAGATAGTCTTTGACTCACAACCAGAACTGAGCCCAGAATTATGGTCATTAAGTTGTTGCTCTCATCAAGCAAGGAATGTAACTCCACTGTCAATACCATACAATGTCTCAATGAAAAAAGATTAAAATACAATCCCAGTAGTAATAAGTCTAGTTTTTAGAAAGAAATAAGTTTGGTAGACCTTGTATTCTTCAAGAGGCAACTGGACTTCCTTGTTTTTCTTTGAAGACGTTTCACTTCTCATTCAAGAAGTTTCTTGAAAAGGCACCTTTCAGACAATCATGACCTGGATGACTGAGAATCTCCATAGACAGGTAGATCTTGTAGCAATCCTTTAGGTAAGATTTTCTGCTTAGAGACCGTATTTTGAATAACTGTTTAGAAGACTCCTCCCCAAGCTCTCTTATTAGTGTGTTTTCTGTTTGAAATGGGCAGGCATAATGGATATTCTCTATTGTTTGTAATGCCATCAATATACACAAAACCTCGAAGCAGTTTCACAACTATTTGAAAATGTTAGATGGTAAGGTGACAGGTGATGCACAAGGGGTGCCTGCATGCATGCAAACACACTAATGCCCAGCCTGTGCACAGGGAAGAGGGAATCTAAATTTGCAAGAGGATGAGAGCGGCATTGCGATCCAAGTTCCATCTCTTTTCTATGGACAAAAGACCATTAGATGGCAACATCACAACCACCAACTTGCTGATTTTGAAGCCTCCCTGGATTGTGCAGCACCCCCACCCTCCAGGAAAACAAATTCGGATGTCTGAAGGAAAAGGAATGATGGAGGCCCAGTACTTGTCTTTCCTATGAAAAGCAGCTCTGTTGCCCAGCATTCTGGAATGTATGTATTTGTAACATCTATATTGAGAAGATTTGCATTAGAAATATTCCTGGCCATTCTAAAAAGGCAATGCCTGCCGTTCTCCTGAGTTAAACATTAGGAACTGCTTAAGTGGGAAGTATTAACATTGTTAATAATGAGTTAGGCTAATCTATTTCAGTCATCACTCCTCTATATCCTGGGGTTTTGCTTCTCTGAAGATCTTCCCACATTTTTTGAGATGATATAAACAGTGTATTTATTACATTTTTATCCTAATTTTTTTTCATTTCTAAAAATGTTCCAAAGCAGGATTTATATTGCATTTAATTTCAGGCAAGTGGTTTATGGTTGGCAGTTAGCTTTTTGTAACTGTAATGGCCTCTGTTCACCACTAGAGGCCAGTGAAGGCCACAATAATATTCCTTTCCCCTTTAAAGGGCTTTTGTAAATATTATACACAAATAGAATAATTTAAATTCACAGACTACTTCAATGGATCCCAGGTGCTTGTCTATTGTTAGGTGACTGCTAGCTTATCTGTGTGTCTCCACTTCTGCTGTGTTCTCATGATACAATGAACACTCATCCTCATGTCCCATTAACTGTGGTATGGAGATGGTCTCATCATTTCATCTCCTCCCCAGCCTGAAACTCAGGTAACTTACACATTTGTCTTTAAGTATCCAGATTTAAAACACTATCGTCCCTCTTCTCCCAGCACAAGTTTTGCCAGGCACATGATCTACAATGACTCACTGACATTAGTGAAGATAAAGTTAGGCTGGAATCTGGCAAAGAGCATCTCCTCCATTTTCTGGGCACTGCCCTTCATGGCCAGTTTGGCTTGGGTTGCTGCA